TATACTAAGGACATCCCGTGATAAGTTTTGACGATCTTTCATCACACCCGAAAAAAAATGTTTACCCGCCCGAACCCGTGTATTTCATACCCGCTCCGCCCGAGACCCGTGTCATTTAAAAAATGATTACCCGCCCCGCCCGCCCGTGTGCCGGAAAATACCCGCGCCCCGTTAATCCCGCGTTTAATTAAATTTTTCTTCCCCGCCCGCCCGTCGCCACGTGGCCCCGCGGGGCCCGCGGGGTGAACCCCGTGGACCGCACATCTCTGACTGAGAGCTATCCAAAATTAGTGGCGGAGTCCCTTTAATTCTTTATAAAAAGTTTAAAGAAACTTTTTCTCTGTATGGATTAATATTAACAACGACGCTCGACTTTTCTGCACTATTACATCATTGTTCAAGTACTATCATAATAATAAAATTTTAATAAGACTTGTTTTTCTCTCACATATGATGGTTATACTAATGCCTACTTAAAAAAAGGCAGCGTGGATATTTTTTGAATAACTTCTGATGGAAACAAGATAGAGAACTGTTGCGTTCATAGTTCGACAGAGCAGATGAAGATGCATCGAATCGTATATTGTACGTTTCTTTTTAATACGCTTTTTTTAAAGGTTTTCAATCGATCTCATTGAAAATAAACCTACCCGACGAAGTGTGCACGGCAAATTCTCAATTGTCATACGTAAATTCAAATCATCAACGGAAGATCTACGAGGCCACACAATTTTCAGTTGTTTAGAATTAGTCATTCGGGAATTATAAGCATTCTAGTCGTAGCTCTAAGTGATTTCTCTAGCCATTTCTGTGAAGAAAGTTTTTCACTATTACCTTTTTGATAAAAAAAACTTTTTTTCCCACACTTAAGAAACTGATTAAACAAACTTCAGACAACGTACGAGGAAAACATATAATATACAATTCGATCATATCAGCAGAGAAAATGATTAAACTAACCATATAATAGATGGAATGGAGCGATCTAAGATCTAGTTCATCAATAAAAATGGAAAAGATTGTACATAGACTTTGGTTTAGTACTTTTGCGATCATGCGTTATCAAAGATCAATCATAATAAACTACTGCGATCATACTTGATCGTGACTGCTATACAAGGATTTAACGATAAGACTTGTCTTGGCAAAGTAATGAAGAAAAACCAAAAGAATGATAATCATATTTAATTCGCTCTACTGATATTTTCATATCTGTGCCATTGTAAAAAAAAGATAAACTGTTGACACTATCAAACATTGTACTTTTGCAAAATGACTGCAGTTTTTGTGATACATGTATCCACGCTAATCGCATCCAAGCAATGACGATAAGGTAGCGATGGAAAAGAAAAAATTTCGAAGAAAGCGCAACTAAATAATAAAGATTTTTGATACAATTTTCCTCAATGATTAATTCAATTAAATAGGATATTCTTTTATGATTATGTTTTTACCGCTAAAATATTTTATTGATGAAAACAAATACCGATAAAATTCGATAACATTGAGTTATATTTTGTCTACTCGGAGCAATAGAATCAACATAATGTCAAATCTATATTTGTTCCCGATATTGCGTTATCGAAGAACTGTTTCAACCATTCAAACCTTGGAGTCTCCACTTCTCGAAACATATTCTTCAGGTGTGTTGTTCATCCCTTTGAACATTTAATGCCACTCTTATTTGTTGAACACTTAAAGAAGGTATTAAATCCACGATTAATTTTTAAAAAATTCTCAGAATTACTTCCATCTGAACAAAACATTTTACCTAATAAATTGTTTTATTTTTAAATGATCTCAAACGTTCTTTGTGCGTTGTCAACAATCAATTACGTTAATAAATACAACAAATAAATGTATTACACCTATCAAGAAATAGATACACAGATACGAAATATAGATATTATATTAAAAGATGTCAAATAAGTCTGCTAGTTTGTCTTCTATTAAATATTTAAAAAAAAACAATCGATATGAACTTTATCAAGGATCTTAAAAAAAATTTCCCGATTACTATATAAATGTTTGTATCAGATTTGTGTCCTTCTTTTTTATTTATCTGTACAATTCTGTAACAATTAACATTTGTTTCGGAGATTTTTTGGAAAAAGAGGATATTTATTATAGTTTTGACACTTTCAACTTCAGAACTCATAAAATCGAACTAAACAAATAAATATACATGGTCTACTTAAAGTCATACCCTTCGTTCAATACAATGCTTGTTCAAATTAGAACTAAGCACTTTGTATAGTTTTGTTTTTTGATGATTAGTTTAATTAAATTTGTTATATATGTCATAGAATTTGTTTAATAATCATTCATTTTTCGATAATTTATTGAATAAGTAAAAACAAACGAAAATATTTATATTTCGTCAACATATTCATTTTGTTTTTCTTTTTCAAGAATATCAATCAATTCTTTAAATTCATTTTGCACGTATGAATGAAAAGACTCAGTAAATGATTTGTCCAGATTTCGAATTCTAATCATTTGTAACACATCTGCTCGATCCTGACTGCGATGTCCAGGCAAACGTTTAAATGAAGATAATTTCAGTTCAATTAACTTTGGTAATGTAGTAATAGAATGGCCATCAATCAATTGACTATTTGTTCTTGGATCAGAAAATTCGACTGATACATCTTTTCCGTCACCAGGACGCTTTTATAATAAACAAGATAGAATAGAAAAAAACCAAATTATTTCATATTTATCTCGCCTTGAACAATTATATCAATTGGAATTTTTGTACTATTACAAATAAATTTTTTTTAGCATCTTCAAATTTTGGTTTTACACAGCGTCCAACAAGTTGTACTTGAAATTGTTAAAGACCCTAAATGAGAATAATTTAAATATTTTCAGCAGAGATTAATATTTTATATTTACAGTTTTTATCAATAATAAATCACAATCTTTGATACTTCTTTGATAACCATGCATGTATACAGCGAATCCTCGGATTATTCCATAATCAGTTTTAGCTTCATCTAGCACATTAGTTATTAGTTTCAAAGTTGACCAAACAGGCCCTCTTTTGTCATGAAATAAGGACAACTCAACTAATGGAGAATGGTTTGATGAAACATTTCGTTTCATGTAATGTATCAATTGGAATAATATCTTAGTTGGAAAATTTTGATGAATTTCTTAAAAGAGAAAAAGAAGGAAAAATGCACTGACACAATATCTCTTGTTATGCTGTATTAGTTGATGTCAATAACTCATCATTTCATTTTTAAATTTAATGATAAATCTTTGTTTTCAGAATATAACTGACAAAAAAAATCTTCGAGATTTATGTTTAAGATAAATGAACATGTCTTTTTATTGAAGAGGAATATAGCAAACTTAGAGATAAAATAATAGAAATAATCTTATCACACAATACTTTTATACATCAAATGATGAGTTACTATACCGATTAACTGGAGAAAAAAAATGACACATTCTCGGATAATTTACGATGAAATAAATATTTGTTGAAATGTATAACGCATTCTGGGTTATTGTGATATGTAACAACTAATGAAAAAAAAAAGACTATATATCCTATATGATGTATATTCTTTAAAGTTGATAGATATTGCCTATTTCTCAGAAAAACAGGGAGTGAATGTGGGATATTACTTGCTTGTTTTCAAATTATCACCATAACTTTTTCGTCGATGTAGTTACAATGTATTGCTGTCAAGAATGACTTAATGACAATTGAATAAATTATTCATTATACACTCTCAAATGCCGAGGAAATCTTTCGAAAACTGAAGAGATAGCCGGAGATAATGTATCGAATACTAAATCCCTTTTTTTTTACAACAATATTGATTTTCCAAAGCACCTTTACGGTTTCAGAAATACGTTTACGGAATAAAATGAATACATACCAAATGGTATAACTCTCGATTTATTTTGTTCTTATGGTTGCCATGATGACTACACTTTTTACATTTCTTTGATATCAGAAACGATTTAGGATATTCATAAGAAAAATATTTACAATCATATGTAGGGAAAAAAAATGGCCGTTGACATATTTGATATTTTTGTGTTCTGTTAGATTATATTCTATTAATTTGAAGAACATGACATGAAAATATTGAAACTCTTTCTGGACAATTGTTTCAATATTCGATTTATTATCTCTGTTCTATAATAAGTATTGTTAAAGGTTGATGATGATGTAAAAATCTTAATATCTAATATCTTATCTTAATGTTTTTTGACCTTTTCAGCATTGTACTTCAATTTAGCCGTGCACATATTGAAATTGTATATGCATGAACTGACAATTGCTAAACAGCAATGTCCTCATACATTAACGTTAAATGGTCAATATATAAACATCTTTGAATATAAGAAAAGGCCATGAATTGAATTTGTCTTATTTCTATATTGAAATAACATATTGTTCAACTATTTATGTCTGTTTGTTCCTTCTGTTCTGTCTACTTCAAATGATGATGTCTGAATTTAATCATGAAAATTCTTCGTTCTCTGAAAGAAGAGGAAAGAGAAAAAAGTGGAATAAAAAAAAAGTGTGTGTTGTGGGGAAACCAGTCATTATTTATTTCAAGCATAAGACGAGACGAGAGGAGTTCCACGTACGTTCGTTACTATATTTTTCTTTCTTGCTTCAGGTCAACTACACTATTCTTTTTTTCTCATAGTTGTATGATTGAACACAGGGAGAAGCTTTTAATAGTAAGTATAATAACAATTGAGGACGTCGCCGCCGTCTACTTGCGATTCATTTTATGTGTACAAAACGATTTAAGAACTCGTTACATTGTTACAATTCTATATATTTATAGTGAGAATAGTAAATATTATATTATGTACTCGATCGATATAGACAGACAGACAGACAGACAAACAGACTAATAGAAAAAGAAATAAAACAAGAAGTCTTTTCCACTCTGACAACGCCTAAGAATTATTTACATTTTTTTAGTATATAATGTTATTTTGATAATACATTCGAATAGGAAATGTTTCCACAATACACGGAACGTAAGTTATTTGAATCAATTTTTTCGTTTAATGTATTAATGATGAGAATTGTAGGTCAAATGGGAGGCGAGTTAGCCATCTGGCTTCTAATCACTGTCGGTGCTCTGCTTATTCCTATTATTGTAGTTGCCATTTGTTGCATACGACGTCAGTAAGTACTCATACTTTATTGTTCATTATATGACACTTCTCTGTAAAAAAAAGTAAAGAAACAACATTATATTATGATACGAAATTGAAAGAATATTAAAATTAAATATTATATTTACAGATATCAAAACTATTTTTTTGATTCAAATTTCGTAAGTTTTTTTCTCTCTTTGATTATTTCAAAATAAAAATATCAACAAAAAAAAATTTCTTCTCAGTAATCCTTACTTTTTTTCTTTTTCTCGTTTACATTGATTGATATTTGTGTGTGACTATTATTTTAATTCACACATATATGTTTAAGCAAATATTTTTCAATCATTCCTTCATTGACAGTTGTTGGCAAAACATTCCTACTCGTCGTCTACCATCTTCTTCTGCTATTATTACTAACAATGATGAGCTACTGATTAATTCGAATTCATCACCACATCATATGTGGAATTTCTATGTATGTGAATTAAGCAGAAAAAAAAACTCAAGAGAAATATATGCTAGAGGTTTATATTCGCCAATGAATATTTTTTGTTTGTATTCGGTGGCAGCATTTTAGCTGTGCTTTTTTTTTGTTCACATTGCTTTATATTTTTCTCTTTGCACGCTTTTTTCTATTTTACTGAACACTAAATTTGAGATTGATATTAATGTTTTATTGAATTGTTGTGTTTTGCAGTTTGTCAAGAAGACCTCGCATAGAACTGATGGAACGTCGGCCCCCACGTATGATGATAAATACGAAACAGCTGGAGGCTCTACGGTATATGAAAATAAAGTTTTTTTTTTGTTCTCAATAATTATCTTTTTGTTGATATATTTAGTTCGTATAATGGCCCTTATGTGGAATCGAGTAACGATGATGTCGGTGTGTCAGCTGAGAATAATATTGCTCTAACTTTTTCACGTGCAAATTCACTTAAAAAGCAACATGTTCATTGGTTTGATAGATCAATAACATCAAAAATAGATGATTTCTATTCAATAAAACATCAACAATGCACACCACAAAAACAATCTATTTCTGGAGAAGATATTTTCAATCCTACAATGCTTACTGAATCCCCATTAGCTCATCGTAATCATGCTGTTATACCGATTTCTTCGTCAGCTCTTTCTCATTTCATTCCAACAATGATTATTCCAGCTGGTTCTGCAGTTGGTAATACTGGTACTAGTCAATTATTAACATCATCTAAAGAATATACGTCTATTTCAGTTAATCATAATATCATCATGTAATTTTTTGTTTTTTTGTGGAATATTTTAGCTTGAATTTTTTGTATTTTTGTGTACATTGAAGCGAATTTTCTTCTTTTATATATATAATTATATAAATGAAAAAAGACTGTCAACAGTTTTATAAGACATATATCTCAAAAATTATCACAGTATTCAGTAGATTATGTTATATGAATGTCTTTCTTTATCTTTTATAAGATAATATTCGGTAATTCTTTCCAATTAAGAAATATTTTTATAAAACTGATAGAATTAATTTCATTGATATTTAATTTTAAAAAAAATATGACAAAAAAAAATGAATCAAGAATTTTTACAACATCCACCGCTATTTGAAACTGTTGGTTTTTGATTATCTTTTAGACGAAATGATTTTTGATTCGGTGAAATTACAACTTGTGCATCAGATGACACAGGAATACTTGATGTTGGCCCGTGTCCTATTGATGTCATTGCTGATGATGACGATGAATTATCGACTGATTTAGGTATTTTCTTATAAAAAATACCTGTAACAACTGTAATAAATGCTTGTTCAACATTAGATGCATTAAGTGCTGATGTTTCCATATATGATATATTAAGTTGTTCAGCAAGAGCTGTTGCCTGTTGACGTGATACTTTACGTTGATCAACTAAATCAGATTTATTTCCAACAAGCACAATTGGTAAGTCAGGTGGTGTATGTCGATGTAATTCTTCAATCCAAACTGTAATATGATCAAATGATTCAGGTTTAGTTAAATCAAATACAGCTAAAGCACCTTCACTACCACGATAAAATTGTGGTATAACAGTTTTAAAACGTTCTTGACCTGCTGTATCCTATGATAATGATAATAAAAGAATTTTAAAAGACAAAAATCAAATAAGAAAATTACCCAAACTTGAGTTTTTATTTTTTTTCCATCAATTATAAGTTGTTTATAAGCAAATTCAACTCCTATTGTTGATTGAGTATCAAGACGAAATTCATTACGAGTGAAACGTAATAAAAGATTACTCTATTAATAAAGAATAAATAGTAAATTAGTATTGAAAGAGAATTTATTATACCTTTCCAACAGAGCTATCACCTATAAGAACTAATTTAAAAATTAAATCATAATCAGATCCTCCACTTGATTTTGCCATGTATGTTTTAGAAAAAGAATTCTATATGTGTATTTGATGACAAGAAGAGGTATATGTTCGCCTACTGATAAACGCGTACGTTGCATCTTATTCATTCTAAATTATCTTATCAGACAAACGTGTGCTGTAACAAAAAAAAATCTAAGAATCAAGAAATAAAATTTGAAGTTATCAAAGTATTTTGTCCTTTTGTCTCATCGAAAATAGAAAAAAAAACATATCACATGTTTAACGTATAAACCAACCAAATCTATTTCTATCTAGTAATTTCAAATAGTGTTACAATTTTATAAAATAAAATATTCATTTAGTGTGAATGAAACAATTTTTTCATCAAGTATCCACAAGTTTCAATATTGACACTTCTAAAAGGGAGTATATCATAGCGATATAGACATAAGATAATATGGTGTGTACAGACGATTTGAAAAAAACTGGGTAGATCGAAATAGGTCTATATTGACAATAGATAATAAAATTATATCAGTCACGATCCATGTTTGAGAGAAATTATTGAATGGTGTAATTGTTCTAAAATTGTAAATTTCAGATTACTATTTCATCAGATAAAAGAGAATGTATATTGTGTCATTTGTTTGTTCGATCAAAATTTACTGATATATTGTTTATATGATTGAATAAAATTCTACTTGCAAACGGTTTAAATAACAAAATTTGTATTAAATTAAAATTTGTTGAAAATGGAATTTATCAATATGAATGAATAATGATTATGATAATGTTTTGCTGTCATATTTTAGAAATTTACAGGATTTCATGAATCAAAAACAGTAACAAAATGCTGTCGTCTAGCAAAAATGTCCGTAAAGTATTTTTTGGTGCCCTATTTGATTCAATGAAATAGAATTTATCCTTGACTTCTAATACATGTAAACTATATCTCTTATTTCTCTCGATTGAATTAACAACGGAGTAACGTTTTTATTCTTGAATACAACACATTCTTTCTTCTTAATATTCATTTCAAATAAAATTCGCATTAGTCGAAATAAGAACACCATTAGTCGAAAACAGTACCACGTGCAAAACAATGTCGCAGATAAAAAAAAAAAGAACTTCTATTGTGTGTAGATATACTGTCCACAACAACGTTGTTCTTATTCATCCGACAAGTCACATTAATCATTATTTAATGATATGAGAATTCTTTATTGAAAAAAAAAATGATTATTATTCTTTTTTTCTAAATATAGACAACAAAAAATGATGTAAATCTTAACCATTACACTGTGTTTTTTTACGTTTTAGACATTTGAAATTGGTAGCATTGATCAACATGTAGATATTCATTTTAGAGGAGAAGAAACAGAAGAGACTTCGAGCTTGAAGTTTTATGAAATTTCCTTAAGGGGACCCCCCCCCTTTCCGGCGTTTTTAAGAAACGGCCGAACGAAAATTCCTGAAACTTGCAGGGTAGATAGACCTCGAGTAGTAGAGCAAAAGTTGTCATAGACACAAATTTGCCAGACGTCATCTTCGTGGACTTCCAGAGACCCCAAGGTCAAAAACTTGCAAAAAGTTTTCCCCCCCGCAAATCCACAAATTTCATCCGTTTGAGCTGAAATTTTTGCTGTGGGTAGACGGACCCAATCGGGGTGGGTGTTTTTTTTTTTTTCAAAAATTCCAAATACTTCAGGCTGGAGAACCAAAATACTGAGCACCTTGCAAAATCTCTAGGTTTTTTGGATCCTAAAAATTTTGCGAAGCCTGCCAAACTTGATTGGTAGAAGGTATCCAAAAAAAAAAAAAACACCCAACCCAAATCACTTGAAGTCTCACCAAAACAATTTTCAGCCCGATCGGACTTGAAATGGCGGAGAAAAAGGGGGAAAACTTCATTTTTTTGCTGAAAAAACTGATTTTGAGAAAAACGCAAAGAAATTTGTGTTTTTTTGGTTTTTTCAGCATATTTTGTGATTTTTTTCGAATTTTTTATATATAAGATGTGGTTTTTCAGTTCTCAAAATGTACTCAATGGATAGAGGGCATTCAAATCTATATACTAATCACAAAAAATGAAAAATGAAAAATGTGAAAATTTTGAGTCGGGAAAGGGGGGGGGGGTCCCCTTAAAGTATTTGAAAAAATTCTGAAATCTTTAAATGTCTGTGCTTGAAATCTTTCGAAGTGTTGAAAATGTGAAATCCATTGTTTTCTGCTTGGCAATATACTAAACATTGTTCTCACGTAGCTTTGAAGCGTAACTAAAAGAATATCATATGTGAACTTCCTATGATGTAGTATATCTAATTATTTCAATAGTTTCACATTTTATACACAAGATGCAGAAACAAACGAGTCGCCTCAAAGTTTGTTATGAACTTCGGTTGAGAAAAAAGATATTTGAAAATAGGACGTTCCTCTGAAAGGAAAACAACAGAGAAGAATCTGTTGTATCAAATAAGTATTTTTCTAATACTTTGTTTATTCATTTATTTAACTTCATTCAAGAAAACTAAAATGTTGTTTCTCAGATATACTTTATATTTTGTAGTGTCATGTTCGGTAACTGCATAGTCTTGAATCAATCTTCATCTTACAGATCATGTGAATGATCAAGTGAGAAACAAACTATTGTAACATGATTAATTCTATATCCCTACTTCTAATAATTCTCACAATCGTCCTTCTCAAATCATTTCATATTGTATGACTGAATGACAAAGAAGAAAAAACGCAACTCCAGTACTTCGAAGTACGAATGGAGTATTGGAGTCGTACTTCATCCCTCCTTTGGGCTATACTGATATACGAGTTGTTTTGGACACGTTGTTCAATGGTTCACAATTACTCTATGCTTTGCAACGAACCAATCACGTATTGATGTACTAACACATCGACATGCATCTCAAAATTCCATCTTTAGGATAAAATAATTCTTGGTTATCAGAATGACATTAAAAATACTTCAAATATAAAACCACAAACGAATATATTCCTCACTATTTCATCCAAGATGATAAATATCAATGCAAACACAATGATGGTAATATTTTTTGTTATGATGAACATCTAGGAAGTCACTATGTTCAATATCAATATTTCGCTTCAAACAATTTTTATGTTTTTACAGAATTCAATGAAACAAATTGTGAACAATGTTCACACAATAACATCCATATTTACTATAATAAATAGTAATGGATTCTGAAATTATTTTTATGGAGCTGATGATGAAGTTGATTGTGATTCATAAACATTATTAAAATATTCACTTCATCATCATCATATATGTGTTTCAACTAAAACAAATTAACTGATGCATCTACCTATTGAAAAAGGCAATGGCAGCACGATTTGTTGTCTAGGTACCACTGATCAGTCAAACTATGTATAATTAATAAAGATAAATTTAACACCAGAAATTTTTACAGTAAGAACAGCACCCCCAAATCTTACATTAGTAGTAGAGATCCGTATGATATGCATCAAGAGTGTATACATGGCGATGATGAATAGTTTTGTCAAAAATATAATCAAACCGTTTATCATATGTGTAAGAAGACAAATCTACGAGTTCTATCAGAAGTAGAAAACTTTTTGTATGAACGGCCCATGAATAAGAATAAAAGATTGATTATACATTTCTTATTCAATCTCGTTAGAAAATTGAATAATCCCACGGTGAAACGTAAGAAAAAATTTGATGTTTCTTTGTTTTATAGTGACTAAACCAATTCATCAACGTTAACAACGTTGTCATCGTAGTCTTGATTTATAGGTGTGGTCAAACTAGAAGATAAATTTAATAACAACTACTTACCTTTGTCAATCTTGTTTCTCTATAGTAACATGTATCAATATCAGAATCAATGACGGTAAGTCTTACCATACAATTTTGAGCAATGTCTGACTCTCGATGAACTTTATTAGCTATAGTCATTTCACTTATTGATTAGAGTGACAAACGAATTATTCATGCAATTGAACAATTCACATATTGACCGAAATGAGATTGTAAAAAACAAATTTCATGTTTATTTACAGAATTCAATTCGACCAAAAAAAAATCATCGAAAACATAATTCTGTAAACGTTGAGACCAATGAAGAGATCTCATTAGCATATAAAAAATGTTTCCTAGTACTATTAACTTTTCCATCTTTCATGTACATGGCCAATGTAATGGGTCGCCCGAAAATGTTTCTTTTTTGTGGAACTCATAGGTCAGAAGTGATGAGTACATATCTGCAAAGCTTAAAAATAATATTTCGATGGATTTTGCGACAAACACTTCTCCACAAAATAATAATCCTAATTGTTCGTTTTCTGTACAGCATCTATCAACAATGACAATGAGAGTTTTGCTGAGAGGCATAGTAACATTTCTGAAGTACTGCTGCGAGATCCTCAATTCTTAGCGCATTTTGTGAAGCTCAGTCTCGTCTTGTATGCTATGTAAAAAATTGCAAATAGAACATATGCAATAAAAGACATCATTGTTGAGAAGAACGTTTATTTTCTAGGAGCTGCTACAACAAATTTTCAAAACGGAATGCAGTCAAACAAAAGAATGTACGACAAAGTGAAATTAGAGTCTTTACGATAGAAACATGAAAGTGCTTGCCGAAAAAAAAATTTACTGAAAAATGCCATTGTATCAATGTAAAATGTGATACAGTCACATTCTCCATCTCTGGATCTGTTAATGTAACTGTTCCCATCCAAACTTCATTTTCAGACCATTTAAAGATTCATGCATAACTTTCAACTTATGGATCATACAAAAATAGTGAACCTAGATTCAACAAGAGCACAAAATTCCGATTCTAAACTAAGGTTTTAAAATTTCTGTTGGTTCTTTTGATCGATCGAGAAATAAAGTAACATTTTGTTGCAAAATTTTCGAGTTATTTCTTATTAAATATTCTAATGAACTTAATATCACTTCTCTTTTTCTTTTCAATGTAATCAACGATAGTCTGGTCGATATTGTGTGCTGTCCTATATTAATGTATGTGTTATGTCCTCTCAATAAG